GACGCTACTAAGTATGTGCGTGTCAGGCATACAAACAGAATGTAGGTACTGAGGCAGTGAAGTAAAAGGGTCGGTGGTGCGGTGATTTAGCACGTCGAGTTCAAGCAGGCGAGAGGTTCGATTCTCTCCTGGTCCATATTAATTTAACAAAAAGGCGACGCTCGCGAGAGGCGCTGATGTAGTCGCGCATTCGTTAACTAGGTGTTTCTTCTATTAATCATGACGTTGACGTTTGTAGATGTTGTTAGCATTGGGCTCACCGTGCATCGTTGTGCTGACTCATCTGATGCACCAAGTGTTGGCCTCTTATGAAGTCTGGCCGGATCCGGTTGACGATGGCAGAACGCATTTTCCGAAACCCACTTCGTGGGCCGATAAGAATTACGGGCAATGGTGTCGAAATAGGACTATTAACAGGTAAATATAATCTAATATTTATTTAAAAGCGGTGGCAGATGTGATACCCAGGTTGGAACGCACCAGACTTGCCGGTGCGATCATGCGTTTTTGCACTAAACTCGCAGTTCACTAATCAAAGGAATGATCCCTGCGCTGTAGCCTAACACTTGGGCTCATATTGGCCACGCTCCGGCCTCTTCCGGCATGCAGGAGAAAGGGCGTCAGTTAGGATGAAGGTGTTGCATTATAGGGCAGCATAGACTTCCAGGTATGATTACCGGTTTTTGCACGAAGCCCGGTCATTTTTTTTAGTAAATGCTAACTTTCTGAAAAAAAAATGCAAATTTCCAGTTGACAAAAAAGTGGAAATGTTGCTAGAGTGGTCGTTTTTCAAATCCAAGTTGGAACGCACCAGATGAGCGGTGCGATCATGTATTTTTGCACCAAACTTGAAGTAATTAGGTTGTATGAACGATTATTTCTTCACACCTACCTTGTGCGCTCAATACCGTAAATCATTGTAAATTTTGCATAAAAGGAAATAAACAATTTCCGTTTAACGGTCGTTTTTTAAAAATAACCCAGCTGTTCAAAGAGCGATTTTTTTGTTAAAAATTCAGGTGCCCGTACACGAGAACCACGCGTATCTGGAAGCTGAATTTGAAAACCTTAAGTTGTATTTGGACGGGAAATATTGTCCCAAAATCTCAGCTTTTCTGGCTACTGAGTTGGCATTTTTCCCGCCAAAACCTTCACAAGGCCTTACGTGAGCTGGGAGCATACCTGGGGTCTGGGTTTGGAATTTTCAAGTTTTATTTAGACCGGGAGCATCCCTTTAAAACTCCAGCCTCCCAACTTTCCTGGTTCCCAAGCTAGCGATTTTCGCGCCAGGAACCGTTATGGGAATGCACACGGGAGCCACACACCTGGGGGCTAAATATGAAGTCTTTGAGTCATATGTGGACGGGGGACATAACTTAAAAATTTCAGCTTTCTATCTTTTCTCATTCCCGGATTATCAGTTTTCCCGCCAAAACTTTTAGCCTCTCGTACGCGGGGCCTAAACTTGCGTGGGAGTTGATTCCGCGGTCCTGGGGTGGCACTTGGCCGAAGAATCAACAAGCAAAATCTTGGCACTGGAAATTGCTTGGTTGCCGGGTTGAAATACCCAGACAGACGAACACACACATACACACACAACGCAAACATAAACACATAGTCAGGGTCGTTGCAATATGCGTTTTTGCAATTTGCATATAGGCAAAAACGCATAAAAATCCAAGCGTGCAAATGAACTGAATATTTATTTACATATTTGGGTGAGGGCGGTCGTTCGCTGCAAAACGCACTCTTTTCTAATTTTTCGGTAAAGTTGAGTATTTCTCAAGCCCACCTGCAGGGGATTTCATCTCCAAGTAGAATTAATACCGCACTTGAAAGTAGAATATCCCAGCCAATTCTCAGCCTCGCAGTTTATCCGGTAAGCGAAATATCCACTTCTCTATAAATATCTTTGAAGTACCCTAAATCGTGACACAAGTGCAAATCGGCACACGTTTTACGTAAGCGATTCCCATATGGCCGATAAATATACTGGCAAAATTTTAGCTATTGTTTCCTGGCAAGTTTTGGAGTTAATATAGTACCAAGTTGCAAATTTTGACGTGGTCATGAGTGCTGCACAAGCGTATGCGACAGCTGAGTTTAAAATCTTTAGCTCGCACATGTACAGAGAATATTGCTGCAAAGTTTCAGCTTTGTACTTTGCCTGGTTTGTAAAGTCGTTTTCCGCCAACATTTTTTTGGGGGGCACGTATGCGGGGTCTAGGCGCGTACGGGGAAAGATCTTAAAACAGGAGGAAAGATCTTACCTGAATTGCTGCTTGCATCATTTTTGCCCTAACACGAACGAAATCATTTGCCACGGCAATAATCTAGAACTAAACAAGAACTGCTTTCAGGCACATCCAGTGTCAGATGGGTTCGTCATTACATCTATATTCTTGCTGCGGTGAAACAGGCACCGAATGCTGTTTTCGGCTACAGCCTGTTGTGATAGCTTACACTTCCGGTTTAGGATTTGTTTTTGTTGTTGCTGTGATATTTTACTTTTTGTTGAAATTTAATCTTATTTGTCCAGTGTCATCAAATGATCGTGAGGTTATTGAGTACAGGGATTTGCCCAAATCAGATAGATAGCTTTTCCTCCGGCTTAAAAAATTTCATTGGATAAGCTTCAAGATTCTTTTAATTCTGAATTTTTTCTGAGCCTGCTGCAGTTATGGTTTAAATCCGTATTTCAAAAGACAGTGTCGATGTAGATAAACGAAGGCCGTCATCTGTCTTGCTGTGCGCTGTGACTGCTAGAGCACGTTTTCAGTGCTAGAGCAATGATGTTCACTTGTATCTTCTCAGCTTTGATTCCAAATCACGCTATTTTGGTTTTCATTCCTATGCATTTTTGCATATTTATGCTAATGCAAAGAAGCGTATTGGCAGAAGGTTGTGCGTGTTCGCATTTTGTCACCCATTTTCATCCCAGCAACCAGAGAAGCCAAGGGATGTGATTTTTTGAAGCATGTAATCACCGCATGCGTGACCCCTGGTTCACGTATGCTTGGATGTCATATACGGACGCTGAAAAGGAAATTTGTAAATTTTTTATCGAGAAAACGATTTTTGGAAGCAGGCGAGGTAGAAAGTTAGAATTCCACAAGGGTGTTCTTTGTCCATGTCTGAGCTAAAAATTTGAGATCCATCTTCAACCTAAACTTATATTGTGCTTATAGACAAGTTAAAGTTGAGACTACGAATTCACTGGCAAAATGTGCAGCCAGGAAGCAAGTTGATTAGAGCGCCGTAATTCAGCGAGAATATTTGGTTTCCATTCCTGAGCACACAGGCATAAAAAGAGCTTTGGCGGTCGAACACGCCAAAGATATTTTCAACTGAAAGGGACTTCGTCACAGATCAAGCTAGGTTGCTGGACTTTGACGAATATGTTCTTTGCTTATGTGCAACTTAAGTACCTCAAATCTAGCTTTAAAGCACGCCTAAGTATCGCATACGAGCAAATGAATGCTTAGTTTGGGCTGGATCCAATTTAAGCAGAAAGCAACGTTTTTTTTTTCTTTTTTTTTCTGAGAATATCTGCTATTCATGCGGGAGCCAGCAAGCACCAAATGGGCTTCTGTTCACGCTTGTGCACCGTATCAAATGTTTAAATGGTAGCGCTGTCATCATCCTACTCACGGTATTTAACAGGGAAGGAAACTGAAATTTTATCAAATTGCTACCTGATTCTGCAAGGCACGAAATTGAATGGATTTCATAGCCTTGATAGATTCCTTACAGACTGCGGTCCACCTTATCATTATAATCAAAGAATATGGAAAGACACCAGAAAAAAGGTTGGGCTGACGAGTTTTGCTGAAGGATGAAGACTTATGAGAGAACAGTACTGTTATGATAACAGCTACAGATTCAGCTGAAACAGTGCAGTAAAGAGGAAGCTGAAGTATTGAAAACTTCGAAATATCTCCTTCCCCCGATGCGCATAAATTGCTTAGCTTTTTGACATCCCGACTGTCTCTGCTAGTTTCACAAAGAGCGAAAATTTTTATAAATGTGAGCGAGTATCATTTTGTGCAAGCATGACTGAGCCTCTGAAACTGATAATCTTATCCAGCGGTAGTTATGGATCGTCGTTGAATATGCGGCCTTTCGATTTGTCTAATGCGATGGGTTCGAGCAAGCAATTCCGATAATGACGAGGCCGATACACTTTGCTAATGAAAACTATGATTTAATGAAACTCACGCCAGTGATCTGCACTCGCATCTCTCGACATATTTTTTTTCTAAATACGAAATACGAGTAAT